CTATACACATATAAGGAAAATCAATGACCCCCGGGGCGGGGCCAATTTTGACTCTAGGGCTTTGATTTGAACAAACTTTGTAGACACTCACTAGAAGTTGTTTCATGCTTAATATCTAAACTCTAGCTATTTTTAATTTTTCAAAGAAGATTTTTTAAGTTTTTGCTATACCTATATAAGGAAAATCAATGACCTCCGGGGCGGGGCCAATATTGACCCCAAAGCTTTTTTTTGAACAAACTTGGTAGACACCCATTCTAACACCCATTTCATGCTTAAATGTGTATGTATTAGAGTTTGGCCCATATCATTGATGCATAAATAAATTGTGATATTTCCTTTCATAATACAGTATCATGATACATTGCTCAACCATTGATACAAGAATGCATACAGACAAAAGGCTCTATTTACTGTGATAGCAACAATAAGATGTGCTTGAATCCTATTTTTAACTCTGGTGGCCATCTTGTTAAACATACAGATACAATGTCAGAAACATTATATTGTGTACATCAAATAAACTGAAAATATATTGTTGTTGTTCTTGTTGTTGTTGTTGTTGTTGTTAAGACTAACAAGTCTACTTTCTTTTATTATGAAGAGGCCAAAACTGCCATAGGCAATACTTGAAAAAGAAAAACAATAACAAAAGACTGTAATAGACCAGTTTTCAGTGCTTTTTCTATACAAGAGAGATTAGCAAGAATTTTATATTTGATTATCTTATTTAAATTCATCAAAGTCCTAGTACTTGATTTATTTACCGCATGGTAATAAGGTATGTTACAGAGTTGATCCCATCTCAAGGGAGGTAATAAACGTAAGATCATCCGGGTTATTGTCATGCTGCCTACCGAAAACAAGAGGGCCATGATGGCCCTGAAGTCGCTCACCTGTACATAGGCCCCCAGAGCGGGGCCAGTTTAAAGCCCGGGGCTTTAATTTGAACAAACTTTGTAGACAACCATTAGAAGATGTTTCATGCTAAACATCTAAGGTCTAGCTAGATTTTTTAAGTTTTTTCTTTACACATATAGTTAAAAACAATGACACACCTGGGGCAGGGCCAGTTGTGACCCCAGGGCTTTTATTTGAACAATCTTTGTAGACACTTACAAGAAAATGTTTCATGCTTAATATCTAAACTCTAGCTATTCGGGTTTTTTCAAAGAAGATTTTTAAGTTTTTGCTATACTCGTATAAGGAAAATCAAATGTCCCCCGGGGCGGGGCCAATTTTGACTCCAGGGCTTTTATTTGAACAAACTTTGAAGACACTCACTAAAAGATGCTTCGTGCTTTATATCTAAACTCTAGCTATTTGAGTTTTTTCAAAGAAGATTTTTCAATTTTTGCTATAGTTTTACACATATAGGGAAAATGAATGACCTCCGGGTGGGGCCAATTTTGACCCAGGGCTTTTATTTGAACAAACTTTGTAGACAATCACTAGAAGATGTTTCATGCTTAATATCTAAATTCTAGCTATTTGGTTTTTTCCAAAGAAGATTTTTTTAATTTTTCCTATACACATATAAGGAAATTTGGAAAATCAATGACCCCCAGGGCCGGGCAAATTTTGACCCCAGGGCTTTTATTTGAACAAACTTGGTAGACATCCATTAGAAGATGTTTTCATGCTAAATATCTTAGCTCTAGCTCTTTTGGTTCTTTTAAAAGAAGATTTTTTTAAGTTTTTACTATATGTATATATGGAAAATCAATGACCCCTGGGGTGGGGCCAACTTTGACCCCAGGGCTTTTATTTGAACAAACTTGGTAGACATCCATTAGAAGATGTTTCATGCTAAATATCTTAGCTCTAGCTCTTTGGGTTCTTTAAAAGAAGATTTTTTAAGTTTTTACTATATGCATATAGGGAAAATCAATGACGGCCCTGGGGCGGGCCAATTTTGACCCAAGGGTTTTATTTGAACAAACTTGGTAGACACTCACCAGAAGATGTTTCATGCCAAAAATCTAAGCTCTAGCTCTTTGGGTTTTTTAGAAGAAGATATTTTAAGTTTTTTCTTTCGGTTGCCATGGCAACCAGAGTTCTGCATGGAATTAAATTCTTTGAACAATTTTCAAAGGTGACCACCAAAGGAACATTCCTGTGAAGTTTGGATGAAATTGGCTTAGTGGTTTATGAGGAGATGTCATTTAAAGTAAAAGTTTATGGACGACGGAGGCGGACGGACGACGGACGGACGACGGACAGACGACGGACGCCAGATGAAAAGCGATCAAACAAAAGCTCACCCTGTCACTTTGTGACAGGTGAGCTAAAAAGAAAAAAAGAAAAAAAATTATTTGTCTTTCCGCTTCTTCAAAAGTTTTTAAACATCATGCCGCGAGGTAAATGGAAAAGAGGTGCCGATATGGCAAATGGAGGCAGAAAAAGAGCAAGGAACCATGCGAGTGAAGTGGAAAACCGGCCTCAGAGGCAAAATCAGGAACCTGTTGCTGTTCATTTTCCACCACCACCATCCCTAGGTATTAGTCAATTCGACAATTCATTTTCCAATCTGAGACAACCAGCCACCTCTCAGTTTTCTCCCCCAGCCACCTCCCAAGTTCTGCCCCATCCCCTATGTCTCAAATTGTAATCCCTCCAGGTGTCATCCAACATCCAGACATAACCAATCCTAGTGTTTTAATCCCTTTAGGCAGTGCTCCCAGAAGATCAAAGAAAAATCTGGTCACTTGGGGATCATACTCAAATCCCAACGTCAGTTGAACGAAATTTCAGAATCTGGACCTGCTGGCGAAGTTCAATTTAGAGAAGGAAGATTTTTTGTCAAGCCCCATGAACAGGAGAGATCAAAATTGTCAATGTGATTTAACTATAGGTAAAAAAAGGTTCTGGTACATTGTACATCATTAAGCAGATGAAACAATGAAAACACAACAGCTTTTCATGTTATAACTCTAAAAATCTAGTCTTCAATGTGTAAATATCTTCTTTTTACTACAACATTGCCACGAAAAATTTGGATTATTTAACTTTAATCTATCTCAACATGAAAATATATTATATAGGTGCCCAATGTTGATGAGGTAAAAAAGGCTAGGATGAGACTGGGGGCTCATCAGATCCTTTAAACTTTTTTCAAACAGACTTAATTCAAATAAATATTTCAAGAAAAGGCAAAAAAAAGATGTTTCACTGTCACTTAAACCAAATTTAGTGTGTTTAAAATATGAGACAATACATCTAGTAGTTTCCAATTTTTTTGGAGACACCGACAAAGGATCAAAGGAAAAGAAAACTACAGGCCCAAATTGATTCCAACTAACATCATCTTCTTTATAGCTTCACCATAATTTCTGTTCTAACTGACTTTTACTTCAACAGAGAATAATTTGCACACAAATATGGAGTGTTTCCCCCTTTTTTTTTAGATTTATTGCACTCAATTCTTAACACTGTCAAATTATGTGTGTTTAATGTAATAGATTGGATTCTTAAAAATATTTCTTTCAACCATCCTGGTAAAATGTAAGGCGTTAAAATGCAACAGATAAACTAAAACTGTTTTTTTGTCTTTGAAGTTACAAAATATGAACTGTATTAAAAGTCCCTCTCTGTATTAAAAACTTACAAGTAATATTAATTAAATCAATTAAATTATCCAAAAGGGATGAGTATGTATGACAAAAATAATGTAAAATAGTCAAAGATAATGCCCTACAATAGAGGAGTCATCATTCTAGTGTAAAATACCAACAATTAACAAAGTATGATTTGAAAATTCAAACAGAAAACAAAAAAATCATTTTATGAAGCAATATTATGACACAAAAAACTTTTTACAACCCCTCATAATACCCTTCCCAACAGTAAATCTAATATGTATATACAGATATCAATTCTACATAAATCTATACTTGTAATATGTCAATTTATATAAATATATATTTATATATAAGACTTAGTATCAAACAATATAGCATAGCTGAAAAAATATATAACAATATATAATTATAATATATGATCAATTTAAATGTACTGAACAATAAAAATTAGAATTTTACAAACAATTATAATGTAAAATCATACCATGAGAATTTCAAACCAGCACCACAATGTACAAACAAGAATGTCAAACAACATGTATGCCCCCTTTCTAGCCCATGACTCATAATATTGGTAATTTTGTTATAGAAACATGCCATAAATGGATACATTGAAGCATTCAGTTATGGAAAAAAGAAAAATGATGAGATAAACAGTTTTCAAGATAATGAGTGGAAATCATCCTGACATCTATGGCCCCTGTGACCTTGACCTAGTGACCCCAAAATCAATAGGGGTCATCTACTACATATGACTAATCAATATGTGAAATATAAAGACTTTGTGATAAATAGTTTTTAAGATAATCAGCAGAAACCATGTGCTCTACTGACGGACAGACAGACATTAGCAAAACAATATATCCCCTCTTCCTTGAAGGGGGTATTATTATTTAAAATTGGAGTTTTTATGTTTATACTTGATTCCTGAACACCTAACTAAGACAAGTAAAAATCATATATATATTTACATATATATCATTGAATTTAGAGAACAGACTTGTCCTGCTTTGCATTTAGAAACAGCCATTTATTATACAAATAGATTATTTCAATATTAAAATACGAAAAAATAAGCAAGAAACATAAAAATATTTCTATGACATTGAAATTTGTTAAATTTGCTTTATAAGAACAGTTGAAAGGTTTGTTTCATACATTTAGCAGGACAAGGGTCAACAAGATCTACATAAAAAATTACCATACTAATATTACATATTATCTACAATAAATATTATAATTCTTATCTAACTAAAAATCTCATCATTTACATCTATATTTCAAACCTGGATCTGTTGCCTGCATGTTACTAAGGGGTCATTCTTCATTAATCATGTTGTAAAGTGATGTATGAAAGACATTCCAAAGACTTGCTGCCGTTATTTGATTTTCTCCTAATTCCTGCTAGTTTTGCTGTAATCAGTCATCCTCTATTGAAATGCTTTGCTACAAAAAAAATAATCAAAATAATTTTCAACATATAAGTGCACTTTTTATTTTATTTGTATTTTATTTGAAGAAAATTACACTTTTCCGGAACAAAATTCAAAACAAGTAAATATATGTTATCAAATAAGTTTGTGAAGTTTCAACCAATACTCTACAGTAGTTTTGGTGATACCAACATGCAAGCAAAAACTTTACCAAAGTGCGACAATGACGCCAACATTAACACTCAAGTCTTCTTTGAATTTAGTCTGTCGTAAAAGTTTCTTTACTCTATATATTGGCTCAATCCTTTGTAATAATTATTCAACACTACACTTCCATACTACTTGGGGTGCTTATCATTTATAATCTGGCTAGAAAAAGAATTTGTGTGCATTTAAATACAAATGAAGTTTTTTTTTAAAGGGAGAGGACACTCGTCAGGTTTCATAGCTTTCTGCCCAATCCCCAAGATATATTGTGTAAATACTGTTCATCATACATAATGTAAATATATCAAATAAATATGTGTAAACCAAAAGAAATATGCGCAATGGAGTTTTCTTAAAATACTACATAATGTAAACATATCAAATAAAATATGTTTAAACCAAAAGAAACATGCGCAATGGAGTTTTCTTAAAATACTTTTTATGCAAACCTAAAGAGCATGTGTTTTTTTGTTTTGTTTTTTGTTTTTTAATTTTAAAAATTGATTTCTAAGTACATATTTTGAGACTTTTTTTCACTTTACTTTAATGGCAATGAACAATATTATTACACATATGGATACTGTTGTTTTTGGTCATATGCCAGAGGAATAATCAACAAGATATTGCCTTCCAAAAAAAGATTGAAGTTATTGTCATGCATCTGAACATATTTATACCCAAAATGGTATTTTCCAATACTACAGGTATTCTCCTTTCCTGGTTTCTAATAGGTAAGCAAAATTGCAACAAATACACATATAACTCTTACTGGCCAATAAACCCAGAACTGTGCTGTTAAGGAGGCATCTAATAAAAACCTGCAATATAAAATATTGCAGGTAAATTACAAGGTATTTTCAATAATGTCTGTTTCACATAATTCTATAATGCAGCAAGCCACGAAATGAACACAGAACATGAAAAACTATGTCAATTACAACAAATTCTCCAGGCCATTAATATAAAATCCATCTACATGTCATATACCTAATCACCTATAATACAGCTGTACTTTAAGTAGAGTATGTACTAAGACAACTTGGCAAATATCTGAATTAACGAGGCACAAGCCTTTGTTTAGTTGATTTATTTCACGATAACACTCCACTCTGTAAAAGGTCACATGGTGACTTTCCAGCTTTAATGGTGCAGGAAATCATCAGGAGCCACTTCATGCATTATTTCATGCATGTGCAGGCAACAGAGTTAAACCATCAATCTTCCTGAAGCAAGCAGAGTGAAGCTGGATGAAAGAATTTACAAAATCTCTGGGGGGATTCCAACCTACAAAATCTCCTACTGCCTTAGGGGATAAATGATTAGAGAGGTAAAGTACCATAACAAAATGGCGTCATTACACCATTTTTATACAAAAAATATTACTAACATAAAACAATTTCTATAATCTGAAGAAATATTCCAAAATTTGCTTGTGTATCACTCTTCTTGTATATTCTCTTCTATCATGGTTAAAAATATCTGGTAATCTAATGATCGCTAGCCGCATTGGTTCAAACCTGGTCAGGGGCAAGTCGTTGTTTCCTTGAGGAAGAAACTTTACACTCATTGCACAGTACTGGTTGGTTCCAGGAATGGATTTAAAAGGGTGTCTATACGCTTATAGCTTCCAACACAATCAAACTAAAATAAATTCTGTATAAGTCAAACATATACTAAAATTTACGTAAAAGTGTTTCCGTCATAGCACTTATAAATGATATTTACCTGAGCAAGAAATGGAGTGATCATAGCACCAACACGAGCCCATGATGATGCTGTACCTATACCTAATGTTCTTATAGTAGTAGGATATACCTGAAAAATAAAACAACAGTAAATGGTAAAACATCTGTATTTGCATTCTATATGTAATTTTTGTAAAGGATTACTAGTTCCTTATCATTTTGCTTAACCTGAATTCTGAACAAGTATTGTGATGAATGAAATGTAGTGACAGTATGTATTGGTAGATAAACAATATCATGTGATATTTATAATGGGTTTTTTTTCTTGTTCAAGAACAAGCAGAATTTCTTCTTCTTGAAGCAAAATATGAACATAACTCTTGTTATGGACAAACAATAAATCCTGTTTTAGATGCTATATTAGATAATCAAGATAAGTAACAGTGGAACTGAACAGTTTTCATCCAATTATGAATTTTCTAATCACAAAAACACTTTTTAATGTTAATATTAAGATGCAGAATTGTCCAAGGAATTGAGTCATATAAATATATCCAATTTCTTTAAAGGTAATCCATTTTTATTTGAAAGAATAGTGAGAGCAAAAAATGCACGTCTGCACAGTTTGAAAGCTGAAAAAGTGTTTTTCTCATTTTTTTTATATAAAGAAGGATTAATAAATTCTCATTCAAAATACCTGAAATTCCTACTAATCTTGCAAACAAAAGGTGCTAAAATGGCTTTAAATATTTAATGGACTAAAGTGTTAACAACAATCTGTGATAATGGCTTCTAATCATTCATCAATGGATATGGAGGATTTTGAAGGATTTTCAAACAATGACTTGTCAGACAACATAACAGTTGATAATCTTTTTGATCTGTATGTCAGCCCAACAAGTGACAATATTTCAATTACATTTTTTCAACAATCAACACATACAAAAATGCTTCAAATTTTAAAGTCTATGTATCAATTAGAACCTACAAAGGACAATACTGGGCTAACAACAACAATAACTCTATCAAACATGAAAGTTGTTATTACAGTATATAACAAGACAATGAAAATGTTGATCCAAGGAACTGGATGCAGAGTATGGTTGGACACTATCCTTGAGCATATAAAATGTGACTTAAAACAATCTGAATGTAACAATGATACCAATGATCGAAAAATGCAACCCATCATGCCTCAAACGCCAACAATCTCAACACCGAATGTAAAAGGCTCAAAAACAGCACCATTCACTTCCTCTGACACCATCTCCTATCAGTAGTCCTAATCTGACACCTCAAAAGAACCTCACCAAATCAAAATCAACTGGTATTTTTAAGTTCTGTATCTAGAGCAATCTTTGGTCCATCTCTAAACAGTGGGATGCTAAAACTTGGAAAAGAGTTGAAAAAGGCTAAGAAAACTGAGAAAAGGGGTGGGCAGAAGGTTGATTACCAAGAATTTAACAGGCAATTAACTATCATTCAAGAAACTGGCAAGAAACCTGAACAAAAGCTACACAAAATTGGACAGTCAAATTGGAATACACCAATGAACTACAGAAATCTGACAAAAAACAGTGAAGAAACAGCAGTAAAATCCATCTTGTCTTACTCTAATGAAACATTTACTTCTTCATTAATAGAAAAAATGTGATTTCTCTGTGCAGTGTGACTTTCAAGAGAACTTAAACATAAAATGCAGCAAATGTCTCACAGAAAATAACATACTCAAAACTGAAAATGCAGAACTTAAGTCGTCAATCAAAGACTTAAAAGACTTCAAAAGTGACCAAAATGCAAAAATTCTACTTCTTGAAGAAGAAATTATGAAACAAAGACAGACAAAATCAGTCTTTAAAACAGGAAAATGAAGTATTACGAGAAAAGGCTTCTATGAAACAGCAACAACAAGATACTATTGACACACTTCAGTCAAATTTTGATCCATGAAAGAGCAATTTGAGGAATTTGCAAACTCACTTGAACTGGTTAAAAGAAGAACAGAAAACGTTGCAGCTAAATCTGACATATACTCTCTTAAGCATGAGATACAACTTCTAAAAAGTAAAAGTATAACTTCAGATCATCAGAATGAAACCCAAAATCCTGTAAATGAAAACACCTGTCTACCAACACAGAATATCAGTTGTATAGATGAAAGGAAGCAATCTCTTTCAGAAACATGCAGAAGTCCTAATAACACAGAATTATCTACTCCAGACAGAAGTGTGAGCCCAGCGAAGAAAAAACATGAAGTACTCATTCTGGGAGATTCAGTCACTAAAGGACTTATAAGAAAAAAAATGAGTACTAATCAGATAAATGTCACCATAAAATCAACCAGTGGTGCAACTGTTCAGGACCTCAAGACAAAAATTGAAGATGATAGATCACATCGAAAATTAACAGAAGAAACTGACCTAATCATCTTGCATACAGGCATAAACAATATCTCCAATGCCAACTCTCCGCATACTATCTGTGATGACTTCAAAGAAATAGTTAATTTACTACAGACAGTCAACCAAAAAGTGAGAATTGGAATATCATCTATTCTGCCAAAAAAGAGAGATCTGCTGTCAAGGAAAAATATTGCTGAAACAAATAGTCTAATAGAAGAGCTCTGCAAGACCAATGGGTTCCTTTTTATTGACAATTCTAGTGCATTCTTGAAAAATGGTAAGACTGATCAAAGTCTCTATTACGATGAAGTTCATCTCAATAGAGAAGGTTCGACTGTACTGGGAAAACAACTCAATGCAGGCATAAGAAAAATCCTTGGCATCGAAAACAACAGTTCCAGACAACAAGTAAGCAACTCTTCCAGAGACCATGTAAATTTTCGACATGCCAACAGCAGACAGAAAAATGCTCGGAAAATTCCAAATCCTCATCCCAGGTTTGGAGTTTATCGTGGAGTATGGAATCCCTGGCCAACATGGATGGTTCCGCACCGTCATTAGAGAATGACCTAGATGAAAGTTTGATAAACGTTACTGACCAAAATAAAAAAGTGAACAACACTCACGGAACAATATCAGAGAACTCATCTTTATTAGAATGTGATGAAGGAGTTGATATACTCCCCACTTTGAATGAAATAACATTTGATAAGAAAGGACTAAACTTTTTCCACTTAAACATTCACTATCTTTACCCCAAACTTTACGATATCAAATATTTAGTAGACAAATATCCTGACATTGATGTATTAGGACTTCAAGAAACTTTTTTAAGTGATGTTTTTTCTGATTCAGAGTTAACTTTAAATAATTATCAACTCTTTAGGCGTGACAGGAAATCAAATGGTGGGGGAATTGTTTTATATGTGAAGTCTTCATTGCCATGTGAACTAAGAGTTGACCTACAGTCTGAGGAAATTGAGTCAATATGGCTTGAAATGAAACTTGACAAGCAAAAGCCTTTATTGTTAGGATACATTTACAGGCCACCTTCATCATTAACTTCGTGGAATTATAAAATTGAGGAAGTCCTTGATAAAATATTTACTGAAGACAAAGAAGTAATTCTTTTTGGAGATCTTAACTACAATTTTGGTGCTTCAGGCTCAAATAATTCAACATGGAACAATATAATCAATACTTTTAATCTTTCTCAACTTATTAAACAACCTACTAGAGTTACACCAGCATCATCAACTATTATTGATCATATCTATATGTAACCAACCACAAAATATCTCATACACTGCAGTACCTGTACTTTCAATTAGTGATCATTTTCCAATAATTTTTACTAGACGAACAAATAAAAATGTTAAAAAGGGTCCAACGCATGATATAATCAAATACAGGTACTTAAAGAACTTTAATGCTGATACATTTCTAAATGATCTGTCAAAACACCATGGTCCCATATTGATATGTTTAATGATCCAGATGATGCTTTAGACACTTTTAACAAATTATTTTTAGAAACTCTTAACATACATGCTCCATACAAACAAAAAGAGTTAAACATAAAATCAAGCTGATTGGTTCAATGAAGATATAGCTAATGCAATACATAGTAGGGACTATGCTAAAAAGAAAAATAATGTTGATGACTTCAAGTACTGGAAGACACAAGTGAAAAAAACTCATCCATATAGCAAAAACAGATTTTTTTAACCATGAGATAAATTCACATAAGAAAAATCCTAAAAAACTTTGGAAAAACTTGAAAAGTCTATCAGGAAAAACAGAATGGTCAACAGACATCCTATATAAATGATGAAAATGGTTTGCCAATAACTGATCAAAAGTTAACAGCAGAAACATTTAACACCTTTTTTGCAAATGTATTTAAAAAAGCTGAAAATATAACTGAGTTATCACATAAAATGAAAATTGCTCTTCAAGAATCTTTTAAATCTGAAAGCACAAATCAACCAAATAAATTTTGAAATCCCCTATGTTGAACTAAGTTATGTAAAACAAAAACTGAACAGTCTCGATATTACGAAAGCAACAGGCTTAGATGGCATTAGTGCAAAATTTCTAAAAAACGGCAGCAAGTGTCATAGATAAACCCCTTTGTACCATAATAAACTTAAGTATTAAAACTGGAAAATTTCCCACACAGTTAAAACAATCAAAGGTAACACCAATCTACAAGAAAGGCCTCAAGTCTGACAAAAACAACTATAGACCAATTTCAGTTCTCCCACTTATCTCAAAAATATTTGAAAAACATGTTTCTGACAACTTGAAGCTATTTTTAGAAACAAACAATTTCCTCTACACAGCTCAATCAGGCTTCAGGGCATACCATTCATGTGAAACAGCACTTACAAATTTAATTGATAATTGGATAAATGCACTTAATGATGGCAAAATTGTTGGAACTGTTTTTTCTGGACTTATCTAAGGCCTTTGATTTAGTTAATCACAAAATTCTTATTGAAAAACTACCTTTCTATCATCTTTCCTCACACACTATTTCTTGGATTACATCATATCTGTCAGACAGGTCACAAAAAGTAAATGTGTCTGGTGTTTTATCAGAATCTGCTGAAGTTGTCTCCGGAGTACCCCAGGGCTCAGTCCTAGGGCCCCTACTATTCTTAATTTACATAAATGACATACATCTTCATATAAAAAAGTCAAATACTGATATGTTTGCAGATGGCACTTCTCTAACTTCAACTGGAAATACTATAAGGGAAGTAGAAGATAATCTTCAATCAGATCTTGATAGTATAAGCACATGGTGTGTACAAAATTCAATGATACTAAATGCACAAAAAAAACTAAAGCTATGAATTTCTCAATAAAGCATTCAAAATCTGAGCATTCTTCAACACCTTCTCTTAACCTTCACAATCAAGAAATAGAATTTACAGACAATGAAAAAGTACTAGGAGTCTATGTTGACAAAAATCTAAAATGGAAAACACACATTCAAAAAATTATTTAAAAAATGCAATTCACAGCTCTATTTGCTTCTTAAATTAAACAATATCTTGATCTTCATGCTAGAAAACTTTTCTTCAATGCATATATACTGCCACATTTGGACTACTGCTGCACTATTTGGGGAAACTGCAGCAGTGATTTACTCTCACAAATAGTCAAATTTCAAAAAAGAGCTGCTAGAATAATTTTGGACAAAAATTTTGATGCCCCATCAAATGAACTATTTAAAGAACTAAACTGGATGTCCTTTGACCAAAGAATCAGATACAAAAAGGCAATTCTAATGTATAAGTCAATAAATGAACCATCCTTTCCTAAGTATATGAAAAATAAATTTCAAACAGTAAATGACAGACACAACTTTAATTTGAGATCTGTCCAAAATGAAAAACTAATTGTACCTAAACCAAAAACAGAGTGTTTTAGGAAAACACTTAATTACTCTGGGCCTACAATATGGAATGACATTCCAATACATGTTAGAAATTCTGAAACTTTGAAAAAATTTCAAGCCAACTATATTCATTGGCAATTTTCCATTTAAATTATATATGTCATTTTTCCATTTTTTTATATATGTCATTTTTCCATTTTTATTGTGTACATAGCTTTCTAAATATGATACCAGGATGACTAACTGTGTTGTTTTTTAACATTAGTTGTATTTTTCAATATTGAAGTTTTTGAAAATGCCACAAAGTGTAAAAAAAAAAATTAACAGTTTATTTCTTAAATGATGTTTTGTAAATGTTGACTATATAATGTTGTATATAATTTATGTCACATTGTATTTATATGTTGTTATGTTACATTGTATGTATATGCTGAGGCCCACATGGAAGATCGGGAAACCGAATGTGCTAGCCTCATTAAATAAAGTTGTTACTTACTTACTTACTTACTTACTAATCAGTAACCAATTTGTGCAATTCAAAATTCTTTACATAGAGCAAACATGTGTGGCTCAAACTACATTTCTAATACAAAAAGTTGTTTCAACTCTTCAAAAAGTATATAATTGTTTCTATATTCATTTTATACTATAAACAAAGTGCGACAAAAGACAAGACAAAAGACAATGGCATAGTAAAAATACCTCTGAAGTATAGATGTAAACAAAGTTGAACATTCCTGCAGAGAATCCACGAACCATGAATATTAATACAGTTAATACAGTCTGAGACACTGGTAATTGAAGAAGTATGAAAAATAGACCACAACCAAATAAATTCACAGCACCAGTCCATCGACGGCCAACAAGGTCTATCAGAAATATGTTCAGTGGAAGAGCTTAAATAAAACAAAAGAATAACAGATGTAAAATAATGTAATGCTTCAGAAATATTTCTCACATTATGAACTTTTTAGAATCCCTAGAATTATATCTATGTATTTTCATTCATTAACATTCTGTGCTTAGTTATTGTAAAGATGAAAAACTTTTTCAAGTTTATTTTGTTAACTGTTCATTGTCTTATTTAAGATGAAACTACATGTAGTGGTTTATGGTTACATAGATTAAATGAAGCAATCTTAAAGATAAACAAGCATTTGATAGTATTGCGGGCAATACAGTAGTCCCCTACCGGTCCCTCAAAAAGTTCTTTAATTGTCATACACTCCTGTGTATTGCCATTTATAATGAATTTGAGGATGAAGTCTGTATTTGAAAATATCAACCACAAAACATAATAAAATAAGTTTGTCTATATCACAGTAATGTGTTAAGTTTCCATGCTTAGTAAGGAAATTATGTTTATACAACCTTGTCATATTAATTATTACGATGTGGGATTTTAAAGTAAATCCTATAAGGAATGAAGATGTTGAAGTGAAAATACCAGTTTCTCGAAAAAAATCTAAGTTCAAGGGGGACATAATTCTGGAAATAGTCTTGCTAGAGTATTTAACCTTCTCAAAAATGTCGAGTGATAATAAGAAACATATATATGAAGTTTGAAGTAGATACATTAGGAAACTAGAACTATTGCTGAATGCGATTCATACCCCCACCAATGTCCTTGACAGAAGACCACTTGGAAAGGTGGTTAAGGGAATAACTTATGTGGCACAAATACATAAAAAGAAATTATCTCTGGTGAAAAAAGACTAATTGTACAGGTAATAGTATAAATATATATTATCAAATCATGTTCAAAACAGTTACAAATAACCTTTCATTTTCCCAATGTATTAAACATTTTATTTATAAGTCAATTTTTGACCTTCAAGTGTGGCCTTGACCTTAATATGGCACAAGGGTAAAATGAGTTTTGCATATCACCCAGTTTAGTTGAACATTTGAGTAAAGATTGAAGAAAATCCTTCCATTAGTATAGAATTTATAGAGTAGACACAATATATTGTCTAGTATTGGTTGTATGTAAATTTGAAGACTTAAAAAGGGGCATAACTTTGTCAAAATGCAATACAGAGTAATGAAACTTGACCTGCATATCTTATTTGCCACACCTCATATATCTTTTAAGTTTCAAGCAAATGCCTGCGCTAGTTTCAGAATTATTCAAGTACATGTAAAAATTTAAGAACATTTTCTAAGTCAATTTTTGTCTTTCAAGTGTGTCCTTTAACTTTTAGCCGGCACAAAGGTGACATGGATTCTGCACATAACCTTGTTGAGGTGAAAATTCTTCCATTAGTATAGGATTTAAAGAGCGGACACAACATATTGTCTAATATTTGATTGTATGTAAATTTGAAGACTTACAAAGGGGCATAACTTTGGTAAAATGCAATACAGAGTTATGAAACTTGAACGAACAGCATATTGGAATTGTGACCCTTCAAAAATATTCTAAGTTTCAAGCAAATACCTTTTCTAGATTTAGAAATATTCAAATAAATGTTAAAATTTAAGAATATTTTCTAAGTCAATTTTTGACCTTAAAGTGTGACCTTGACCTTAAGCCAGCAAAAGAGTGACATAAGTTCTGCACATCCCCTGGTTGAGGTGAACATTTGAGCCAAGATTGAAGAAAATCTTTCAATTAGTGTAGGACTTACAGAGCGGACATGACATATTGTATAATATTAGATTGTTTGATATTTGACCTTCAATTGTGACCTTGACCTTGAGCTGACACATAGGCAACATGGATTCTGCACATCCCCATGTTGAGGTGAACATTTGAGCCAAGTTTGAAGAAAATCTTTCAAGTAGTGTAGGACTTACAGAGCGGACACGACATACTGTGTAATATTTAATTGTTTGATATTTGACCTTCAATTGTGACCTTGACCTTGAGCTGACACATGGGCGACATGGGTTCTGCACATCCCCTGGTTGAGGTGAACATTTGAGCCAAGTTTGAAGAAAATCTTTCAAGTAGTGTAGGACTTACAGAGCGGACACGACATACTGTGTAATATTTGATAGTGTTTGATATTTGACCTTCAATTGTGACCTTGACCTTGAACTGACACATGGGCAATATGGGTTCTGCACATCCCCTTGTTGAGGTGAACATTTGAGCCAAGTTTGAAGAAAATCCTTCAATTGGTATAGAAGTTATAGAGCGGACACGAAAATGGAGACGGACGGACGGACCGACGGACGGACCGACCGACGCGACAAAGCGAATCCATTATAGCCCCCCCCACATTTTGTGGTGGGGGTATAATAAAGAAGTTATTTAAAAAAGACAACATTTTTTCCCCTAAAAAATCTAAGTTCAAGGGAGGTAATACTGATATTTTTTGTGCTAGAGTTATAAACCTTGTCACATATGATGTGGTTGATGACCAGAAACTTATATTTAAAGTTTGAAGTAAACACCTTAAGAAATAAAGAACATATAGTGAAAAAGCTGAAAAATTTAAATCAGAAATCTTGAAATTCAGGCTATTTGTTGCCATAGCAACCAGAATTTTCAACATAGGAAGAAAAGAAAAAGATGTGCATAATCTCCAGACTGCCATCTACCCATATTTCAAGTTTCATAAAAATATTTTCAGTACTTTTTGAGTTATCACTGGATCCAGTTTATGTGTTAAATTTGCCATATTTTCAGACTATTTGTTGCCATAGCAACCAGAATTTTCAACATAGGAAGAATAAAAAAAGACGTGCATAATCTCCATACTGCCATCTATCCATATATCAAGTTTCATAAAAATATTTTCAGTACTTTTTGCGTTTATCTGCGGGATCCAGTTTTGTGGACGGACGGACTCGCAACGGCACTGACGAGACTGACAGACAGACGGACAGACGGACAGACAGACAAGACGGACAGACGGACGGAGGGTAAACCTAAAGTCCCCTCCGGTTAAAACGGTAGGTGGACTAAATAAAGAAATTTACTCTTAATTAAATTGACTATTTTTTGTGTGTGTGTGATTTTTAGCCCGAAATGAGTGAAAAGTGTTGTAAAGCTTTTCATTTTTTGCATCTATTTGCACAACAAAAATGACTGATCTTGAATAACGGGGTGCAGTGTTGCATCTAGGCCGCGCGATTGCGCGATTTGCGCATTTTTTATGCAGATCGCACATTTTATTGAAGTCAGTGCACGCCAAGTCGCGCATCTGACAATCTTTTCAACTTAATTCAGTTTATCTTCATCGTATCTTAAACGCTTCAGCCATGTTTGTTTTCACTCGTGGTTATGACTAAAATACGTACTTAATCGCGTGTAGCAGCCGACTAAGTCATCTCGCGTGTGAAATGTAGTATTCGTCAATATTTTATTTTTTCTACTTCCGTTTTTGAGCGGATGATAGCTGTCAAAAACGCCTGAATGTAAAATAAATAAACTCTATTCTGTATGTCATATTGTAAGGTCAATGTATGTCCCCCACATCTTTTTCAAATCCCCCACATTTTTCAATTGAGTGGGGGACAATCCCCCATAATTTTGAAATTCTAGATGCAACACTGGGGGTGACACAATGATTTGAAAATATGCACACAAGCTATTGGTATAGTCATTCATCAAAAGGTACACAAGTCTTAGAAAATATTTCCAGTCCCGTCATCTCAAAAAAACATCAATGGAGTTCCTTTAAGATAACAGTGGCTTAATAAGTGTGCATATACTAGAATTGCTAGTTAATTGAATAAAGCTGTGGCTGTCATTGAAAAAAATCATTACACAAACTTACCTATGAATTCTCCCAATGTAGACACAATCATACTATTATAATCACCCTTCTTCAGTAAATTACACTTGCACTTCTCACCTTTTAATATAAAAGTTAACTACAATAGATTTCATAAAAAAGCACACAAATGTCAATCAATAAGGCGCTAAAGTTCTTTCCTTCTATTTTGAATTTAGAATAAATTAAGCAGAAATTTGGTCATAAACTAACTGACAGATACCAAACAAGTTTCAATGAATTCTTTATTGGGTCAATGGTACACATTTTTGTTTTTATTTTTGTTGTTTTTTTTTGTGTTTGCTTAAACATGATTTATTCATGCTCAATTTTAACAAAATCTTTGAGGTTATGAGCTCAAGTCCATTTCCAAGCTAACTAACAAGCACCTGCATCATATGAAGGAAACATAGTTGTAACACAGGAATCTACAATTCCTTGGTTGAATGATATTTGTAACTCACAGATGTTATCAATAACATTCAATTTATTACTCTGTATGCCATGTTATAGATCAGATACTTAAGATATTGAAATATTTCTAGCTCAAGATATACAACATGTACAAACTCATATCCTCAAAGTCAAACATTTTACCATTCCACCCATCACTACTATAATCTATAACTAATGATAATCTTTACAATTTGATGCCAATAATTAAACAACATGTTTGTTTATTACGAAACAAAATAAAACTAATTAACACAATATGACATCAACTGCTAATAATAACAGCTCCTTCCATAGGCCAAAATATAAAGCACACCATAAGAGACGATGCCGCTCACCGGCGTCACCAATAAAATAATTAAATAAAAGGCAAATTAATATCAAGTTAACAATCAGGTACCTGACTTCTCTGCATTTCTAAGCTGCAGTATTTCAGCACTTGCTAAAACCATTCCATAGTATGACAATGCTGTGCCAAACCACAACATCCAGACCATCAATGTTGTACGGAGATATGTAGGTGAGAACAAATCTTTTGGGTTACCCCTCTCTGACTGAAACATCAAAATTAAATGAAAATGTCAGATTTTCTTTCTTCTCAAATCATCTTTGTCCAAACTTTAGTAGGAATCAGATATTTAGGATACATGTGCAAGAAGAAAAATCTTTTATCCTTACCCTAACAAATAAATAATATTATTCATTTATTGCACAATACAAAATAATGTACAGATTAGATTACTCATCTTTCAGGACTTTTTAGGTTAGAGTGAATACTTATTATCAGCAGTTTAAATCAAAATTTAAACAACAATAAATGTTATACTTACAATACTCTGAGTGTTGACAACAACACCTTCTGGTAAAGTGTTTCTATTCATTTTGGCAGCCGACTTTAAAATTTGCATAGCTTCTTCTTTCCTTCCAGCAGCCACCAAGTAGCGTGCAGATTCTGGTAAAAACTTAAATACAATAATATACAATCTTGTATGGGTATAACAAAAGAGTAACAATTTGTTACAACAAACACCATCACAATGCTCAGTCTTCACTGTGGACATTAAAATTAAAATTACACAATTCATAATGACTAAATGATCACTAATCAACTTTTCATTTCTTATCTGACCTTGAACCTATACATTTGACCTTGACTTTGACCATAGGGACCTTTATTTTTTAATTCAACATGATGCCACACAAAGTCGAACATCTGTGCAAAGTTATATAGCATACCTCTAAGTATGCATAAGCTTCACATTGAAATAGTGTTTGCCTCTAACCTAGAACTTTGCAGCAATTGTGTCAAGTGGTACTAGGATGCCTGTAGAAGATATACTCCAGACAAAATCTTTACATTGAATCATCTCCGATGATCTTGACCATGCAATTATTGACCCCATTTATGCTGTATATATTGAGTCACATGATTGTGCACATTGTCAGGAGAATAACTGGCTTTGATGTTATATAACCTGAGGAAGGGTTTGATAATAAATCAAAACCAATTCTCAAGATATAGAGGCAGGGCACCACCGCCTGTTTTAAAATTGAAATATCCTCATTTAAGATTTTTTTTATTAACTCAAATCCTTATATACAGTAAAACAAGAAACATATCTGATCATTATTTACACCATAAACAAGAGGGCCATAATGGCCCTGAGGTTGCTCACCTGTATATAGGCCCCCGGAGCAGGGCCAGTTTAAACCCCAGGGCTTTTATTTGAACAAGCTTGGAAGACACCCATTAGAAGAGGTTTCACTTGGAAGACACCCATTAGAAGAGGTTTCATGATGTTAAGTTTTTACTTAATGAAAACAATGGCCAATTTTAACCCAAGGGCTTTTATTTTGAACAAACTTGGTAGACAACCATAAGATGTTTCATGCTAAACATCTAAGCTCTAGCTCATTGGGTTTTTTTCAAATAAGACTTTTTAAGTTTTTACTATACACATAGTTAAAAACAATGACACCCCTGTGGGTGTGGGCCAGTTTTTGATCCCAGGGCTTCTATTTGAACACAAATTGTAGACACTTACTAGAAAGATGTTTCATGCTTAATATCTAAACTCTAGCTATTTGGGTTATTTCAAAAAAGATTTTTAAGACTTTGCTAAACACATATAAGGAAAATCAATGACTCCCAGGGGAGGGTCAATTTTGACCAGGGCTTTTATTTGAACAAACTTTGTAGACACTCACTAGAAGATGCTTTCATGCTTAATATCTAAACTCTAGCTATTTGGGTTTTTTCAAAGAAGATTTTTTAAGTTTTTACTATACACATATAAGGAAAATCAATGACCCCCGAGGCGGGGCCAATTTTGAGCCCAGGGCTTTTATTTGAACAAATTAGGTGGACACCCATAAGAACATAATTCATGCTAAATAATTTAGCTCTTGCTCTTTGAGTTTTTTTATAAGAAGATCTTTTTAAGTTTTTACTATATGCATATAGGGAAAATCAATGACCCCCTGGGGCGTGGCCAATTTTGACCCAAGAGCTTTGCTTTGATCAAACTTGGTAGACACTCATTACAAGATGTTTCATGCAAAATATCTTAGCTCTAGCTCTTTTGGTTCTTTAAAAGAAAATTTTTAAGTTTTTACTATATGCACATAGGGAAAAAAATGACCCCTTAGGGCGGGGCCAATTTTGACACCAGGGCTTTTATTTGAACAAATTTGGTAGACACTCACTAGAAGATGTTTCATGCCAAATATCTAAGCTCTAGCTCTTTTGGATTTTTAGAAGAAGATATTTAAAGTTTTTTCTTTTGGTTGCCATGGCAACCAGAGTTCTGCATGGAATGGAATTCTTTGAACAACTTTGTAAATGGCTTCACACAAGGAACATCCCTGTGAAGTTTCATTATGATCTGCCTTATGGTTTCAGAGGGATGTCGTTTAAAAGTGTGAACGGACAAGGGGACGACGTACGATGGACGACGTATGATGGACGACAGATGACGGACGAAGAGTGACATCCTAATAGCTCATCCTGAGACATATGTTCAGGTGAGCTAAAAAACAGTTAATTTATAACTATCTCTCCACAAAGTTTTCAACCCTTCGAAACGTTGGAGGTAGAAAACTTTGTGGAAATAGATAGTTATACAATAATCTGACATACCTTCAATAAGATGACAATAAGGAGGGAAGTATAGCCCGACAACACACACCAAACCATCTCCAACCAAGGTAGGTAATACAAACGAGGCTAATACAATTCTCAAATAAAGTACCAACTAGCCCAACTTATCTGAAATATAATCATACATTATTTATTATTATGATTTTTCAATCTAATACATGTCTACATATTCTGAATTCTCCCAGGTATCAATCAATTTTTTTTTTAAATTAAGTAGTTTTTGTAGCAGAGTTGGAAATTTATTGCTATATCTTAGAGGAGATACAGCTCAGTCAGAACAGACAATTTTCTTTCCTGATACTGAATCATTTTGAAAAAGAATTACAGTTTACATACTCAAGTATCAGGTTTTAAATCCCATTGTTACTATAAAGATTTCTTGAGACTTTTAAAATGTATAACCATTAATCCATTTCTATTCCGTTTCTGTCAAACCCATCATCAAAGAACAAAAATGGGTAATTTATAAGAATGACATCACCGTGCAATCCTTCATTTCAGAGTTGACAGAGTACTACAGAAAACGATGGAATGGTATCCTTGAAATAAGCCTTGGACCTTTGGTCTATATCATTATAACTTGACTCTGAATTATTGTATTTAAAAATTATAGGCATTAACCCTTAAAGGCAGTTTTACAGTCCGCCACGGTTCGAAACCATTTCGGTATTACACTGACTAAATTTAATTACATATATACTAAGCAACAAATGATATACAATGACGAAAAAGGTTATACAAACGCCTGCTCAAAACTGAGGTCACTACTCATATTGCCTCCATTAACCACATGATTATCAATTGGCAATTTTCACATCTCTGCATCAATGTTTATTAATTTTATTTAATCAAATCTAAATGTTTTAATAATTATAGAAATATCTAAGAAATTTTACATTGATTAATTTCAATATAATTAAATAATGACAGAGTACTGAAGTGTCAATTTCTGTTAACCTATACTCAGGGACGATATTCGAGGAGTACATGATTAGCCAGTTACTTGTTGTCATCACCCTACATTAAAATGGCATGAGGTAAAGATTTGTCAAATTTTGAAAGTCTTGACTTTGCTTCTCACATCCTTAATCTTCTTATTTACATTAGTCAACATTACACTCTCAATACTATGTTGACAGCAAAATACAAAGCCTTTGTCATCCAGTATAGAGACAGGCCAGTCTAAATATTTGTACTGTCTAAACTAGCTCTATACAGTTAGCTGGCCAACTTCAATATCTGCATTCTCATATCTCAAAAAATTGATACTGGTTAAGATTCAAAAGTCAGAGATTTCAAATGTTATGTGTAAGAACCATGTGTACCCGATCATACTTATACTTACTTGAACCAACATTTAGTAGCTTTGCTATCTATATTGGATGGTGAAATATTCTGTGAGCAATGTAAACCTGTAAAAAAAACACCATATCATTATTGCAGGTTTATTTTGATCTGGTATTTAGGCATCATTTTCCTTTTCTTCAGACATCTCGAAATCAGTTAACCAAAACAAGTGTTTCAAAATTCATACGTCAGTATAAACATTTTCTTCCACAAACAAAGACAAATTAATTCACAACAGGTGTGAAGGAGGATCACTGCCGATGGAAGATGTCTTCAGATTAAAAACTGTCACAAAAATGGGTAAGCCAGACCAAATTTCTCAAACTTGGCGTAAAAAGGGACAAATAAGTGATCTTCTTCTCTCTGTATCAATAACATAGATCTTTCGTCTTAAAATGTCTCATAAACTTAAATCATTATTCATATGGTATATCTTAGGTGACTATTTAAAAACAACAATAATTGTCTTGCTGGCATAATATATTCTGATAAAGATTATATTTGTTTTAAAGAGTTTCTAACCTTCTTGAAAAAGATAAAGTCGGCCGGATCAACTTTCAGTGGCATGTTTACAATATAATGCTCGTAGTTATACAATAGTGTAAATTGTCACATAGGCGGATTGAGGAATCCACCATTCCACCCCTCCACTAGGTCCACGGTAAATAGCATATCCAGGTGTAGTGACGGACCTGAAAGGTCAGCGAGTCCAAAATCACCAATCCATAGATGGCCACCACTACCATGTAATAATGATCTGAAATTATATAAAAAATTTACCATGCGTTACATGATTAGTTGGATCATACCATGAATTTGTCATCAGATCATAGCTAGATTTTCAGAATATCAGATCAATACCTATGTCAAATGTACGTAAGTACAGGTATGAAATATTATGTCTGAGTCTAATTGATAAGCAAGAAATGTTAACAACTGTCTATTTGAATTCTAGAACTTATTTCCGAGCTTTTTAAGTAGGCTCTTTTCGCAGTTGCATAGATACAATCCTTGTAGCCATATGAACACAGAAATCCATCCACAACGCTTACCCGGAGTGGCCTGGCAGACTAGTACATTATATGAACCAGCGTGGACACTCGGCCTAAAACTAATAATGCGCTTCTTTCAATTTTTTTTAAAAGTGGGGGGTGGTAAAAATGATGAGCTTAAGATGTTTGCACTGCGTGGGGGCTGGGGGAGGGGTAAAAACGAGTTATCGTTTATCACATTATATTTCTTTTACTTTTTCAATCAGTTATTAGAATCATAATAAATATTACTTAAAAGCTGATGTGTAGCTTCATATTTCATTGAATGTCACATACCACACACCCTGTCGGGATTCAACTGCATATATCTAAAAGCTGCCTATAAACTCATGTTTATTTTTCCAATGTTTGTACATGAAGAAATTAAAGTAGTAACACCAAAATTCAACATCAACATAAAACTTAACTTTGCCTGGCAGTATCTATCTCCACACTCTAATCCCCATTTGGAGCCATAATACACATTCCAAAAAGTGACAACTATAATATAACATTAGTGACTTTAGTAAATCTACTTATATAGTAACCAAAAGGATTACAGAACATATAAAAGGATTCCATTTAAAAAAACCTTGAAAGCATATATATTCTCTATAATCTTTGGATATATACTTATACAGGATTAATGTTTATTACCAACCTGAGATCTCAACTAATTGATAAACACATTGTGCAAAACAAACTTCAGTTATCATTAATCTAGATAGTGCTTACAAAAATTTGTAAAAATGGCTTTCAATCATATCATCAATCAGAACAACAGAGGATTTTGAAGGATCTTTCTTACAAAACTTATCTGGCAACTTTACAATGAACACAATCAGTATGAGTATATATGTAGAAGCCCAACAAGTGACAATATACGTTTATAACCTTTTTTTTGAAGAAAAAACACATTCAAAAAAGCAACAAATTCTTAAATCCATGTACCAATTAGTGCCAACAAAAGACAATACAGGACTACAACAACTTTAACCATACTAGACAAGAAAGTTGTTATCACACATAATATCACAATACCTAATGACAATGTTGATCGCAGGACCTGGGTGCAAAATCTGGCTAGATACATTCTTGAGAAGATCAGACAAGACATGAAACAAGCTTCCAATGCAATATCAGTCAGGCACAAAATCAATCCGGACAACAGTTGCCAACCAAATCAATCACCCAACGATACATGGCTTAAAGCAGCACTTATTAAACGTCTCAAACATCTCCAATTATGTCTCGCACTCCATCAGCGCTAAGAACCAAAAACTTCA